GTAAAATTCCTTATTTTGCCTGAAACTACCCAAAAATGATTCGATTTCTAGTCAAAAAGGTAGGTTTTTATGTATAAACTTTCCATCATATGCAACGGCGTTTTGAGATATTGAATTAAATGTCGTTTTATGATACAAATTCCTATTGTGCAATGCCACGGCACGGCCTCACCTCAATGGTGTATTCAGATCTAAACGTGCATTAGCGGACCGGAGCAAAATTTGCGTTGGTGTGAGAGAGATAGCAAATACTTCTCTCCACCTCAAAGCTCCCAAGGACGCATAAGAACCGCATTGCATGCCGAGGTAAGTGAGTTTATCAGACGATTGACAAAACTCGCAAATACGATTTCATTAAACGTGCGAGCGAGACAAAAAATACTCTCATGAGAGAAAAATCTTTGTCTTCTTCTTCTTCGCATTTCAAGCTTATTGCGTACTCTCAACTTAGTGTTCTAGATGCACTTCCACAGTTATTAATTGAGAGCTTTCGATGCCTGTACTATTTTTGCATTAGTATAATTGTGTGGCAAGTAAAGGGTGATACGGTCAAAATTTGGTCAAGGGAAAACGCGTGTAAATCGGTGAAATCGTTTATTTAAAAAATCAAATTAAATTTCTTTTTCAAGTTCAATTAGTATAAAATTCAGGAAAAATATTCAGTTAGGCTTCCGCTTTTCCAAATCCGAATTGCCGGGCCTTACGCTTGACCCCTGCCATCAGATTTTGTACAGCCACCTTGTCCACCTTCTTCGCCGCAGAAAGCCAGTTTGCCTTGAACTGCTGCTCGCCCTTAGCAGTTTTTTTGGTCTTCTTTAGGTTCCGCTTGACAATAGCCCAGTATTTCTCAATTGGGTGGAGCTCTGGCGTGTTGGGAGGGTTCTTGTCCTTGGGAACCACCTGCACGTTGTTGGCGGCGTACCACTCCATGGCCTTTTTACCGTAATGGCAAGATGCCAAATCCGGCCAAAACAGTACGGAACAACCGTGTTTCTTCAGGAAAGGCAGCAGACGTTTATTCAAACACTCTTTCACGTAAATTTCTTGGTTGACAGTCCCGGAAGCTATGAAAATGCTGCTTTTCAAGCCACAGGTACAGATGGCTTGCCAAACCAGATATTTCTTTACGAACTTTGACAGTTTCATGTGCTTGAAAACATCTGCTACCTTTCCCCTTCCTTTTGCCGTATAAAACTCCTGTCCCGGAAGCTGCTTGTAGTCGGCTTTGACGTAGGTTTCGTCGTCCATTACCACGCAGTCAAACTTCGTCAGCATCGTCGTGTACAGCCTCCGGGATCGCGCTTTGGCCGTCGTATTTTGTTTATCATCGCGATTTGGAGTCACTACCTTCTTGTAAGTCGATAGTCCGGCTCGTTTTTTGGCTCGATGCACGGTTGTAGACGATACACCCAGCTTATTTGCGGCATCTCGGAGAGAGAGGTTAGGGTTTCGCTTGAAACTACCGGCAACTCTCTTTGTCTCAGCGGCTTCCGGTTTTCGATTTCCCCCCGATCCAGACTTCCTGGCTATCGACAAACTTTCCCCAAACACTTTAATTACATTTGTAACGGTTGATTTGGCAACTTTTAGCGATTTTGCCAACTTTGCGTGCGAGTAGCTCGGATTTTCGCGATGCGCGAGCAAAATTTTGATACGCTGCTCTTCTTGCTTGGACGGCATTTTGACAACTGAAGAGTGAATTCCAAAATCAAAATAGGAGCAACATTCTACACACACACACCTTCAAAATGAGGGGTGTTCAGGTTTTTTAAATGCAAAATTGAAAGAAATACGTCAAGTTGATATTGACCAAATTTTGACCGTATAACCCTTTACAATCATACTTCTATGCCCAGGGAAATCGAGAAATTTTCGAACACAAAAAATTCTCGAATCAAACCCAGCCACGTCCAGCATGGTCTTGCTTTGTAGCTGCGCCTTTACCAACTGAGCTAAGGGAGGCCGCAAGCTTTGTCTACAACACCACAAACGATTACAGCGCTCATCGCTTCCCCTTCGTTAAACAGATCTACATTTCTCACACATTGCTCCAAATAGAAATGTTTATACTGGAGCGCCACAATTTGCAAATGGATCAAATTGAGACAAAATTAAGACCCGTGCTTTCATGAATAAATATACCGAATTATCACGATTTTAGAGAGCTGAAAATCGTACGTTTTTAGTAATATGATACTTAGCTAATTCCTCGAAGTGTTTGTCAATCCACAATGCAGAAAAATCTACTTTTTTATAAAGAAAAACTCGTCAAAGCTATTAAAGGCTGACTAAAACTAAATAGGTACGCCCCTCGCGTGCCACTAGCACGCCTCTAGTGTTGGGAATCGAAAATCTTTGACAGTGGTTTGTTTAAACTTCTATAGAGAACAACTGGTGCAAGTTTGATCAAAGTAGTCGATCATGTTCAGAAATAATGTCGAAAGAAGAAAAAAGTGCTGAAGATGCCGAAAACAACAGTTTGTCTAGTGCTCAAAACCTACTAGGAAACCCTGAGTGTGGAAAGGAATCAGCGAACCTACGAAAAAACTTGACCCAGGGATCGTCAGCTGCGCAGCAAGGTGTTGAGGTGCGTTAAAACCAACCGCGGTCTTTCTATCCGATATGTGGCCTGAAGGTACAACGCCAACATTCAAACGATGCGGAACATCCTTGCCAGGGAAGGATACAAGTCGTACAAACCCAGTAAACATTCGAACCGGCACATGAAGCAGAATTTCGAGGTCAAAAAGCGTGCAAGACCATTGACATTGAGTTAACTTATTGACTAATGCGAACAAGGCAGAGCTCCACCGTGGAAGGTGGTTCGCCCGTCCGGTAGAGATGCCCCGATGGCCGAGAGGAAGGAATTAAACATTGAAAAACAAACTAGCGTCCTTCAGGAAGGAGGCCAAGGTAGCCAGGATCGAAGGTTCATCGCCCATTATGTCACCGATATTCCCCGAAAATCCGTAGTGTTGCCGCACGAACTCGTACTTTAGACACACGCAGAGGATATGCTCGACGGTGGCTGGAATATTACAGACGACGCAGGTCTTGCGGAAAACTCCTCCGCCAAAATCGTGTGAGAGCCGGGTGTGACCTGTGCGAAGCCTGGAGATGACTCGTTGCTCCTTCAGGTTCCCAAGGTTCTTGCATGGACGCGTGCTCTCCTTGATTTTCCTTACAAACGGTCCTTGGTTTGCCAAGCATTCTTCTTGCCACCTGCATGGAAGTTTCGACCCATCGCTTGATGTCCGGAAGTGGAACTTCATCGGTGTACCTATCACCAGATGGTCCCACCCCGACCAGTCTGTCAACGTCGGATGCCACTATGCCCCGGAACCCAAGCGAATACTGTGTTGGGGGGGAAGAAAAAAGAGAACATTGTGGCGGTAGGCTCAAGCTCGTTGACGAGGTCTTTTTCGCAATGCCTATCCCAACTCCGTTGTGCGATTTGGAGCGCCGCAGAGTTGTCTCCTGCCATAAACTAGTCCTTAATTCGGCTTTCGATGTTTAACGGTCTCGATTGCCAACTTTTTCCTCCCAGCCAGTGGCTCTTGGCTATTGGTCTTGCGGAAAACTATTGGTCTTGCGGCTAATTCCTTTTGCGGGTGGTTAGCTGGGAGGCGCTTGACACGCCGAAGTGTCTTTCATCTAGCTTTTACTGCCACTTTTATCTCTTCAGACCACCAGCGAAGAGCTTTTTGCGCGGGAGTTGGGCCAGTCCGGGGAATGGCTAGTCGTGCCGCATCATGAAATACTATCAGGATTTCTCTTAATATCTATATCACCAAACAACCAATTTTGCCCCCGGATCACAGTATTTACACTTTTTAATTTTTTTTTGTGAAATGGGGTCCACCTAAAGATAGCCAGGTAGGGTCCACCTTGTAGCATGCTTTAAAATCACTATAAAACTTGCAATGTAACGGCGCCGGTGGTGTAGTGGTAAGCGTGATTACCTCTCACCCCAGCAGGCCTGGGTTCAATCCCAGTCGGCGCCGCCGGGATGTTCTGAGGCATAACATCTCTGATCACGCCTTCCTTCGGATGGGAAGTAAAGCCGTTGGTCCCCGGTTCATGAGTTGATGGGTCGATAGGTAGGGTCCAGGTGTGGGAGCTGCCTTCCTGGCACGTCGGTAGCATTGGTGCTCAGCACGGAAAACAAGATCGACGGAAAAAACAAACCAAAGGAACAAAACTTGCAATGTTACCTGGGTTGATCATATTTAAAAACTAATAACCAAATATTCTGATTATACTTAAAATTAAATTGTGGTGCATGTTTTCATAATTCCCACTACCATGTTATAATTAAGCTAAGGAAAAAAAATCTACAACACTCATGCTCATATTTTTAGATTATTAAACGAGCTGATTGCAATAATTTTTTGCTCTAAGCATAGTAAACTAAAAGTAGGTGCAAAGTATCAGTGGTTCGTTATAATCAAAGAAGAAGATATAAATACAAACCTAACCCTAACAGAATAGTAAAATCCGACCTCATTTTAGTTAATTTCAAGGGCGTTAAGTTGTGACATTTTTTGTTAATGCCAAAAGGAGAAAATAATATCTTTTCATCCATTAACATACACAGTGAACCTTGAAGGGCAACCTATAGAAAACAGAGGAAGCATTCGGATATAAGAAATGAGTCACTACTGGAACTTACTATGGCAATAGAACACAGCACAATTTACAATAAAACCTTTACGAGACCATTCCGTCCGCAGCGGGTTTAAATTGGATCCCGCCAGTGCAGAATGGTGGTGGCTTCAATCGAATGAGCCCTATCCAACAATGGCGTAGAATGAGATGGGATAAAATTAACCTTCGAGAAAAAGGGAGGAAAAAAGTTCTCGGCAAATGCTTATCAACCCCTTGGGCGCCACACAGCGCACCGTTGAATTTTAAATCGATTTCGTGTAAAACTGAGCAGAACGAACGACCAAAATAGAATACGACAAATTTTTGCTATGGCACAAACACGTGGCACTCACCTCGGGCGTCACAAAGTAGCTGGGGCTCTTCTCGATGGTAATCTGACCGCGGAACGAGTGAGGCATCTTTTTTCGGTACCATTCCAGCCCCTTGAGATAGTTTTCGTCGCGGTCGAAGAAATGAATCTCGCCAGCTGCCTTCTGAATCCGTGGATGAAGATACAGCATCTCCAGCAGCGCACGTGTGCCACATTTTCTCACTCCAATTATCAAACACTGTGGTATGTGGGTTCCATCGATAGAGAGAGAGGGTTGAAAATTGGTTGCACGAGGTGGTGAAAATGAGAAATGAAAAGAAAACACAGAGAAGAACACATTTTCCGATATGAATGCAATTTCCAACAATAAATTCAACTGCCAATAAATTACTTGAGGAAGTCTTCTGCTCGTCTTGGGGAAATGGATCCTGTTGGGGAATAGCACGGGATGATTAATCGTCGGTGGATTCGGGATGTGATTTGTTAGTATGGCGATTTTGTTTTCGGATATGGCCGTTGCTGCCTGGAATGAAAAAAATGGGATAAGAGAAACATTCCAGTAAAATTACTCTGTAACAATTCAAATTGTGTGCTTTGGAAATGATTCCATTTCCGTTTCTTGTTCGCGTTGATAAGACGAAGGGTTTATGCTGGCATTCCCATTATTCCAAATTTTTACATTTTTGTTTCGTTCACAATTTACATAAATAGAATCAAGTACCTAAATAAACGATTTTCTACTGCAGCTATTTCACAAACAACGCGGACAAGCAAGCGAAACCTCATATGCTCGTCCACCACTTCGCGTTTTCAGCGACACAAATCTCATCATCCAGAAGCCGTACGTATCTGAGAGTTTAATGCGATGCTTGCTTTTTTGCAGCAAACATTAAGTAGTATTTTCAGCTTCGTACATTAAATGGATCGTCAGTTGTGTGCCCGAGAAAATGCCACGAGGTGAACACAATTGTATGAGAAACGGCTTCCGTGAATCATATCCTTAACGAAGTCACTTGCTTTGACCGCAGCAAGGGCAGGAAACGGCAAAGGAAATGAGCCAAACAGACTTCAACTTACCTGTATGCTGTAGACAGCACTGTCGTACAGAATGTGAAACGTAAGAAAAAGCGATAACAACATAACCGATAAGAACAGAGCCGCTAGCTTAGGACGGGAAACGCCTACGATGAGGACGCACTCTGAGTGGGAGGTGTCTGGTGGCCCGATGGGCCTCATAGCCGCTTTGGGTAACCATCTGAAATGGAGAAAAATAGAGAAGAAGGAAAAGTTATGTTTAGCCTTAGATAAATTTGCTATGTTTTCGTTTTGCGGTGGTGTATTTCCGTATGACTAATACACATACTTCAAGGGAGCATTATTTATTCATTTATAATCATGAAGGCATCAACGGAAAAAGGTGATTTCTGAGGTAGAATATAAATTTGTATCATCTATCGTCACCCAGTGACGAGTCTTGATATTCACGACTTGTCATTTCTGATTGCTGAAACGATAAATAGACCACATCTGTGGAGAGCACAGATTTGCAAATGCCTTTTACAACAGCTGGCGCTTTTAAGAGAATTGAGACAATAATTTTATTGCATGAGAGCACGGGGGAAGATGGCCAATAGGTCATCTTCTGGATTAGAGGGAAAATAGCAAAAAAGAAATAATAATTCAGGCTCGACCCTCTTCGTTTTGCATGAAATTTTGCATAATTGTTTGATATGGTCAATAATTCACATTTGAGCTAAGCTTCAGCCATTTTCAATCTTGCAAAGAAATTCAAAATGACATACTCGATATTTTTCAACAAACCAAAACTCTAAAACGTTACTTCCAATCTAAATGACGTTTGCGACAAAGTTGTGGGAAAAAAATAAATCCATTTCAGGGAAATACAATCAAGCAATTTTGGGTGAATTACTCGAAAAATCGAATTATTGACCATAAGAAACAATTATGCAATGTTTTTTTTTTTAATCTGAGAAGGTTGCGTCAGTTGAAAACTCAAATTTTGGTTGGGGATCGATGTAGGCTGCGCTGCGAAAATGACGTGTTTTTGTTTTGCTACGTCGTTTTTGTTCTAGTGAAAATGTTATAAATTTACAATTTCATTTTTAAAAAGTGTTAATTTGAAAGTACAGAAGTGATGCTGAAAAGTGCATTAAGCTAAAATTTTCAAATTCTTATCCATTGCATGTGGTGCCGACTGTTCTTACCTACGCGTAGTTACGCTCAGCTAAGTTTATTTACCTTTTCGTTCCTCTGTCCGATAGGAAATATCCATCTAATTCAAGACGATCATTTCAAAACTTACTAAATACGCGTCAATCGAGTATTGCATTACTGCTTGATTGAAAGTTTCAGTATATTATCAATGGTGTATATTTGCATCGATAATGTATTGGAGCGGGGCTTATCATGTGTGAAAATAGCTTCGGAATGCTTGCGTTCTTGAAATGGGCTATTGTAGCTGCGGTAGAGCTGTCACCTTCTAACTCCCGGGTTCAAGCTTCTTTGCATTCATAAGAAATGATTGCAGGCAGATTTTATCGATAATACCACTGCCAGACAGTGGGAGTTAGGCCAAGGGCAAATCTTCATTGTAATCTACGATTCCACATACTATTAATAACCTTTCACACATGAGAACCTCCTATCGATCAGAATGAATTGTGCATATGTTTAGGATCAACAAACATTTTCAGGCGCAACGAAGCAACAAGATCGAGCTGATAACGTTTCTTAACTCCAAAATCTGAAGACTGTTTTGAATAATATGTTTAGGTAATGGGCAGCAACATCGGACAGATAAACTACTTACAGCTTCTATTTATTATATGCTTGATATAAAGATTTCCAGCAAGGCCGGCTGGGCGTATCCTATGGCTTACCCCCCTACTAACAAAAATTCACCCTTCCCATGAGGGGTCGTAGAGTTATCTGTATCTCTCTTAAGGCCATCGTTCGGACATTTTGAGCCGTTTGTCTGTGATTTGGGTGGTTTTCCAGGAAACGTCCCGAAAATCCTGTGAAGGAAAGCGAATATCGGGAAACAAATTCCGTCCGATTGTAGCCAAGGATTTTGTTTTCCTAGTGGGGTAAAATTTGGGTGGAAAAGTGCATTCAACTTCAAGTGGTGTGCTTTTTCCGGGAAAGTGGCATTTCCACCCAAAGAGAATATGCACGTGAGTGTATATGTGCGCGCAAGGAAATGCAATCTTGCGCCTATGTTTTCCCGGGAATTTCCCAAGAAAGTATACCATATTTTTATACCAGGACATTCTGCAGACTATGCACAACATGATAGTATACATAAACATATGATTTTCGAAAATTTGTAGCATGGTTTTTCAATTTCCAAACCATGCGCCAAACATTCTCGCTGTAAATTCGTCACGGACATAGTAAAGAAGCAATCAGCAATTACGCATTTGTTTTACCACGTTGCCACATTTTCTTGTTCGTAGGTCCACGAGTCCTTTTTCGCTAGTTCGCTCATCATATCAAATTGATCAGGAATCAAAAATTATATCGAAGACCTACGACGGATCCGAAATTGAAATTGAGATCTCCATATATTCTTTCATCATATCAAACTGAACAGGAGTTCTTCAAAATCTTATCTTATCTATCGAAGACCTACGACTTATCGGGAATTGAAATCGAATGCTGCATATTCCCTCATCACATCAAATTGATCATTAATTCTTCCGAATAATCAGAAATTATATATAAAACGTATGACTAATCGGAAATTGAAAATGAGTTCTCCATATATTCCACCAACACATCAAATTGATCATAAATCCTTCTGTAGACATTCATATGTTCCCTCATCACATCAAATTGATCAGGATTTCTTACAAATTATCAGAATTAATATCGAACACGTATGACTAATTGGAAATTGAAATTGAGTTCTCCATATATTCCATCAACATATCAAATTAATCAGAAATCCTTCTGAAGAACTTCGGGCAGTTCGAATGTATTTCAAAATACAAGGATGATCAGGAATTATTTCGAAATTTCACCAAATTATCAGAAGTTATATGGAAACCCTATGACTGATTGGAAATTAAAATCGATTTCACCATAATGTGTACCCTATGTACCATATCAAAGTGTTCAGAAATTCTTCCGGATTATCAGATATTATATTGAAGGTCTTCGACTAATAGAACAATTGTAACCAAGTTTCCATGTATATCTCAATCAAATCAGGTTGATCAGGAATTCTTTCGAATTATCAGAAATTATAAAAAAAAAACTTCCTGATCAGATATTAAAATCGAGTTGTCCTTATGCCCTTACCATATCAAATTGATCAGGAATTCTTTTGTGTGACCAAAAATTGTATCGAATACCTACGAATGGTGGGAAATTGAAATCGAGTTTTATCAGGACATCTTCCGAATTATCAGAAATTATATCGAAGACCTACGACTGATCGGAAATTGAAATCGAATGATTCATATACACCCTAGCAAAGTGATAATGAATTCTTCCGAATTACCAGAAATCATATTCAGGGCCTTCGACTTATAGAAGAATTGTCATCGATTTTTCCATATAGGTATATCTTTATCATATCAGGTTGATCGGCTATACTTCCGAATTATCAGAAATTATATCGAACACATACGGCTAATTGGAAATTAAAATTGAGTTCCCCAAATATTCCCTCATCATATCAGATTTATAAGGAATTCTTCCGAATCAGCAGAAATTATAAAAAAGACCAATTACTGATCGGAAATTGAATTCGAGGTCTTTGAATATTTCCTCATCATATCAAAGTGATCAGGAATTCTTCCGAATTATCAGAAATTAAATCGAAAATCTACGACTGATCGGAAATTGAAATCAATTCTCCGTACATTCATCACATCAAATTGATCAGGAATTCTTGCGAATTATCAGAAATTATACCTAACACGTATGACTAATCGGAAATTGAAATTGAGTTCTCCATATATTCCATGAATATATCAAATTGATCAGAAATCCTTCTGAAGACATTCGGGAAGTTATACTGATTTTAAAAATACAAGGATGGTCAGGAATTATTTTGAAATTCTTCCAAATTGTCAGAGGTTATATGGAATCCCTACGACTGATTGGAAATTGAAATCGCATTCTCCATTAATTCCCTCATCATATCATATTGATCAGAATTTTTTACGAATTATCAGAAATTGCCACTGATTGGAAATTGAAATCGAGTTCTCCATATATTCCATAAGAAATTACATCGATGACCTACGACTGACGGGAAATTGAAATTGAGTTCTCCATATATTCCATCAACATATCAAATTGATCAGAAATCCTTCTGAAGATCTTCGGGCAGTTAGAATGTATTTCAAAATACAACGATAGTCAGGAAATATTTCGAAATTCTTCCGAATTATCAGAAGTTAGTTGGAAGCTTTACGGCTGATCAGAAATTGGTATCGAGTTCTCCGTACATTTTCTTATCATGTTTAATTGATCATAAATTCATCTCAAGATCTTTTCAGTTGGAATGTATTTCAAAATATAAGGATCTCAGGAATAATGTCGAGACCTTCAAATGACCAAAAATTGAATCTATATCGTTTGAATAGTATCCCACCTTATAAGAATGATCAGGAATTATTCCAAATTCTCGCATCATATAAAATTCTTTCGAATCATCAGAAATTATATAGAAGCCTTACGGCTGATCAGAATTTTTTCTCCGAAACACTTTTTATTGTAATTCTGGTTTATTGTAAGAATTTCAATCACATGAATAGTGCATCGCAATTTCATAAAAATAATAATTAGGAAGTCATTATCCAATCTTAATCTAAAGAATTTGAGCGTGTGTGGATGAAAACAAATATAGCAGGTGAAACTTTTTATTCGCCACAGATTATGATTGTAATATTTCTATTGAAATATTCTTCCAAATAGCCGAATAAATAGTATCTTATTCCCTCCTGAAATTAAAATTCTTATCTATGGCATTTTCAATCAACGCATGCTGATTTCATTTATTTCTGATGCAGAAAATGAGAGCATTCTGCTCGCAGTCATTGGTGTAAATGAGACATTGCAGTTTATTTAAAAATAAATTGTTTTCTTAGGACTAAACCAAATAAATCAAGTAAAAATCAGCAGAATCGCTTTCAAGATTTTTTACTTAGTCTAGTCACACGATAAAAGTGCAAGAGGTGATGTCTATATAAAACACATATGTTATGGTAAATATAATTGGCT